ACAGAGGAAGGAGGAGAGAACGTTGCTCTGCGTCTGACCTATTTAGCAAATGAAGAGCCATAAACACAGCCGATCTGAACTCACTCCGCAGCAAGGCTAAAATTGAGCTAACCACCCCAACCCTGTAAAAACGCTAATCAAAGCCTGCAGGGTTCAGAATAGCTTTTTAAGTGGGGCAGCCTGTTTTGCAATGCTTTTTACATTTTGGGCCCAAGTCCCTCTCATCCTCGTTACCGCCTGTTTTTGCTCGGCCCTAAATAAATCATCAAAAATCCAGCTGCACTCAACAGATACACACAGCTTGCACGCTAGTGTACAGTATGTACACAGTCTTCTAAGTGGAATCATTACCACGTGATACTATTAGAGATAATAAACATAAACTCTGATGCAATCAAAGTAGTCTGAGGACACACTGAAGAGAGCTACTGGATCACATCGGGAGTCAACAGGGAGCCACAACGTGTGGGAGTGTTCCTGAAAACTGTAGAGTAAATAGGAAATACGGTCATTTATCCACTGCTCCCAGAGTTCATGCAGCAGTTCATGGAGTACAGGGTGGAGCATGAAGGGTGTAGCTTCCTATCAACACACAGCAGTCCAAGCGCACCTAACAGGGTTTGAGATTGCAACCAAAATGGTCACATATGAAAACTTTCTTTGTGAGTGTATGAGTTAAAATTTTACCTGGTCACAGTCAGGGGAGTGCATGATGCAGACCGAAGTCTCTGCTGACAGTGACAGAGTGAATGCTGACTTTGCGTTATATAGGTCTTGTATATGAAATGTGTGTATCGTCACTGTGCTGCAGTTTTAGAAACTATGATAATCTGGCCACGTCTTTCGCCACGTCCAGGCATAGCCTCCCTCCCTCTTCCTCTCTTTGCAGTTCTCCTACTCATACAAATGAATATACATCTAGTAACTATTATTACTAACAGCAGAACATTACCAGAGGAGACACTGGGTGTTTTTTGCAACTTCAGTGTAGAGGATTTTTATGTTTACTACAACTTCAGTAACATCTGCCTTAAAATAGACCTTTATATGTTCTACACACAGCATAGCCCACTCACCATCTCTTGGCCTGTCTGTGGTACATCAGCCTTCAGTGTTGATAGGCTATTACCCGTGACGTGTAACCAATCAGCCGGGATGAGCGAGGCTACAGAGGGGTGACTGCGGACAGAGAGCTGGCGGCATTAGAGCCAAAGCACTACATAGAAGGTTGTAGAACTAGTGCTATCAGTGGAAAAGTTAGTCTGGAGATCTGCCTAATGAATGATTATTGTGATTCCGAATTCGACAAAAGTCTAAGTCAGGTTTATTAGAACTTGTGTTTAGCCATCATTTCTATCATGAGGTGAACATTTTACTCATCAGATTAATCGCTGAGCTGTATAGAAGAAGAAGCAGCATTACTAAAAAGCAGTCAAAAGTCAAATACACAAGCAGTCAGATGATCAAACAGCAAGCAACACCTACAACTAATGATTATTCTTATTATCATTTAATCTGCATATTATTTTCTCGTTTCACCAATTAATCATTTGGTCTATGAAATGTCAGAAAAAATGTCCTACAGCACAAGATAATGTCATGAAATAGCTTGATTTATCTGAGAAACAGTCCAGGGACCTAAAGATATGCAAAAATACAAATAAGAGCAGCACATCCTGACACTTTAGAAGCTAGAACTGGGTAACATTTGGCCTTTAACAATTAATTCCGTTGATTGTTTTAACTGTTTCAGCTCTGACTCAATCTAGCACTTTAAACTCACATGAGAAAACAATTGTGAACAGTTATGGGTAAATATCACCCCAACTGTCTATTGAGTACAATGTCTATAACTGATGGATAAGATGACCAAAGCTATTTAAATATGACTTAAATTGTAACAAATGGGAAACATGCTTTCAGGTCCCGTTAAGGCCAAATTCAGCCAGATTCCTAAATGGATCCTTAAGAGAAATCCTCAGAGAGGACATGTTAACAATGGCTGTTTGGCCTGAGTCTGTAAAAGCACCAAGAAACGGCATTTCCTGTTAGATAGTGGGCCAGTCTGCAATCTCCAACAGAGAGACCTTATATGCATCTGCCATCACAACATTTACAATTACGGTCTGAGCACGAAGAGAGGAGAGAAAAAAAATATCAAGCTGATGATGATAACGTGTGAGCAGGAGCAGAGAATATCATTCAAACCAAACTTGCTACGACAGAATTTTTTTTGGAAGACTAACACACAGTACAGCCAGTGAGGAGGAGAAGTACATAGGTCTGGTGGGTTTCATGTGGGGCTGGTGTTTGTCTGGACTGGAGCTGGAGGATCAGGGCAGATCAGCTCAGCAGCAGCCACAGCTGCATGTTATCAGCAGATCAGCAGCCTGATGAACAGGCCTGCAGGAGGTGAACCTAAGAGGTTACACTACATACTAGTGTTGATAGTAGGGGTGTAACGATCCATTGTTCTGTATCGATATATCGATTTAATGATCAACGATCCATTATCACTGATGCAAAGTGAAAACATCGAAGCATATCGTCAGCTTTAGCATAAGCTTTTATTTTGAAAGTCTATGTCACTGTCAAACAGCGGCAGGCACATGGCAAGCAGCCAAGAGAAAGACGATGAGGGCCACGTTATTTACTCTGGAATAAATCAGCACAGTGGAAATATTTTGGATTTCAGAGAAAATACAGGTCAACAGACAGCACATGCCGTACATTAGCAATGATGTTACGAAATAAATCACAACGTAACGTTACCTGCCTGGACGAGCGTTTCGCTTCGCCAACTTCTTGCTTTAGCAAAATTAGGCTGGAAAACTGTGCATGCAGGCCAAAATTCAACCATGCTGTTCTGTCAGGAGATGCAGTGACTTTAATCACCGGTGAGTAAGAAAAATAATAACCTAACATGTAATTTGTTAAGCTATGAGAAGAGGAAAAATGTGCATTAGCCCCTAGGCTAATTTATGCAATGTAAACATGCTTAAGCTAATGATGAGGGATTAGCAAAAAACAATTGTTTTGTCTCTGAATCTTTACAGTTATTAGTGAGCTGAATTTGATACTTTTGTTGAATGATCTTGGTGTTAATCCAGATATTCCTGAAGTTTTATGAAAAAGATGATGGTTTGGGTTAAAATGAAAAGACTTCTGGAAAGATCTCTCTGACAGAAAGCCCTGAAGGTTAACTTATGCCATTTGTTTTTTTATTTGTGTTAGTGGAGCCAGTTTAAAGTAAACTTTACTGTACTTATTATTTATGTGTAGTGCATGTGTTTTATGGCCAAAAGTCAAAAAGAAAGGGGTGGCATCGTCTTCTGTAACAGACTGTGTTAAATGGGCATTTAATATTGCCTTATATCGATCGCAGACCCCAAATTGTATCAAACTGAAATCGTATCGTGGCAGACTTTGTAATATCGGAAAATATCGTATTGTTGTCCAAACAATCAATATAATATCGTATCGTGATGAAACTGGTGATTTAAACCCCTAGTTGATAGTGCTCTATATTTGTGGCTTGTATGCAAAAGGTAAATGTGATTAAAGTGCTGTTTCACCCAAATTACAAAAAAGGCATCTAGTGGCATCTACATTTTAGTTTGGTTTTATTTGTCCAGGATGTAAGATGTGCACTTCAAATGTCAAATGAGAAATTGTTGGTAAAAAAAAAAGAGGGTGCAGTGCTTGATTTTAATGGTTCTGCTCAAGACTGGTGGAAACATGGGCTGGTTCACTAGATAGCACCAAGCTTCCAAGATGGCTGAACAGAACAAGTTCAAAACCAGAGGTAATTTGGTGAAAAATGGGATAATATTCCTGTCATATTTTAGTACTGTGAGAATTTTCAACAAAGTTCTTTCACTTCCATTATACTGGGGTGAAAGCAGAACTCCAGATTCCATAGAGATTTTTTGCTGAATCAACCATTTAACTGTTGTACAAAAAGAACAGCTTAGTACATATTATCTGCTTTAGCTCCTTCACCTCTGTTGTGCACCGCATTGAGCAATAATAGGCCTACAGCCTGTCAAGACCACACTAAAAAAACGGAATAATTCTAGTATGAACATTGGCATTAAAAGTACACTTGATGTTGTCACTTTTCAGGTTAAATGCACCCCATACTCAAAGCATGAATTGCCACTCACACTATAGGTACCTACACAAATGATTTGCAAGCACTGCTTACACACAGGTTGCCAATAGTGGCAAAGTCCCACAAATGATTGCTGTTGCAAGTTTCAGGTAAACTTGTGAGTCCTTAAAGGTTCTTTGATGCTTATGAATGGGTAACAAGTATGGCTTTTGTTTTGATTGGTGAGAGAAAATGATCTGATGTTGTTTAAATGAGATCGAGGACGGCAGCAAAGCCACACAAGGGAACCATCTATGGCCTCACCATGATGCACACAAAACTTTAGTGTCAGTGCGATGGTTCTGTGAAGGTGTAAAGGTGATGGAGATGCAGAGGGGTCACCCAAAGCAAAATCTCACATTGGGTCATTGAAACCCTGAGGCCAGCTCTGAAAGACCCACATACAACCACAGACAGAGTAGAAAAAGAACTAACCTGCAGAGTTTTGAGCTTAACATTTCATTTCATTTCAAACTGTTTGTCCATCTTCAACCCAGAACTCAAGTTCAGGTTACACAGCAATTTTACTCTCAGACAGATCAAGTAAACTTACAGCATCAATATGCTTGAGAGCGAATGAAGCAGACAGTCAATACCAATACCATCACACACAAAATAGTCTTGGCAGAGCAGCTTACATCGGTACTAGACACATACTGAAGTTTAACATCAGGTTTTAGAGCCAAAAAACTGACTGAATGTTGTGTTTTTGTTCTCTTCATGTGGATTTCATAAAAACACAGCCCTGTTGGTTACAATCCAACTGATAAGACAGCACAAAGATCCAAAAGGAGAACCCAAACGTTCTCATGATGTGTTCGGTGGTGTCTGTGTGGGCAGCACTCACCTGAAGCAGCAGCTGCTCCAGGAGGCTGAGCCCCCACAGCGGTCTGCACCCCCCCAGGGGTTGGTGGTACAGGCCTGGGCCAGGATTTAGCCGCAGGAGGGCTGACCCTCACCACCCCGACGTACTCCACAAAAGTCCCTGGAAAGTCTCCCTTGTCCTTGGTCCTCTCGTTGGTGCCGTGCAGCCAGCCTTTGGGGCTCCGCTCGTCCCCGTCCTGGTAGTCCAGCCCTGCCACCGACATCAGCGAGGCCTTGGGGACGGTGAGCAGGTCACCTGGCTGGAGGCTGATGTCATCACCACGCTCTCGCTTGTACTCAAAGAGTGCCCGGTACTGGAAACTGTCAGATGCCATGGCAACAACAGTTTATAGGGCTGTTCTAAAAGCCAAAAATATAGATGTTGCCTGAGATTTGCTGTGCTAAAACTGAAATCAACGGCTTGAAAAATACCAAACGCAAACTCTGTTAGTTAAAAATCCCTGAAGAGAAACTGGAAGTCAACCTAAACCTGGGAAACCTGTGAGGGAGCCTGAGATTTGCTGTGTCGTGCTGACTTGGATGACACAGTGGAAATGATAAAAATCTGATCCCTGAGGTGGAATTCGACACTTTATTTAGTCCTACAACCCCATGAAGAGCAGGTCCAACCTTCTTAATCCAAAAATATTTGTCCTCCGAGTGCAGTGACACTGAATTGAACAGTCAGCGGGTCTTTGCTTTAATACTGCAGATTGGTTTAACTATCCATGCAGTACTTTAAAAATCCACAGTATGAATCCACCCGTCAGTCACAGCTCTCCAGTCTGAAGGCCTGCAGGTCTGTATGATCTGAATGGACAGACAGACTGACCAGCCACCACACTGTGCCTGTGATGGGAAAAGAAAAAGAGGAGGGAGCGGAGAGGAGTAGGCTGGATGGTCTGAAAACTGGAGGATGGCACAGTTTTCTAGGACGGGGCGACCTCCAGACAATGCCCCAAAGCTTCTGCAGGTTCTTCCGATGTTAATGAGAAAAAGTGTACAGAGGCTACACTGAGTCTACTAAAGTCAGACACCCACACACACTTATACACACTCACACACGTACACACACACACCTGAGGAAATCCACTGCAGTGCAGAATTTGGCTTCTTATTCAGGGCGTCCCTGTGTGCACTCTGCTGCTACTGCTGCCTCTCCTTTATTGTCTGCGCAGCCTCCTGAAGCAGACAGACGCTCCTGCAAACTTAAAATTAAGTTCTGAGGTTAACATCACACACTTTTAGACAGTTATTAGGATTTAAATACAAGAAAATATTGATATGAATCAATATTAATTTAATGTCAGAGATGCATGTAGAGAAAAGCATGGTCAAAGTTTCAGCATAAGTAAATAAATATGACACCAAAGTAGGAATATTATAATGATAATACAGTGGAAAAAATCCCGCTGCACCCTGCTTAGCACACTGGCAGAAAGACGCTGAGACTGTCAGTTACAAGAAGCGTGACTAGGCGAATATCAACTTCAGACAGACAGCGTGCCCGACTAAACTCGCCCTGCGCCAGTCTGCCCTACTGTCTGCTGCTGCCGCCCTTAAACACACCGCAAACTCACCGCTCAAACAGCCCGGACGAGCCCTTGTCCACCCTCGGTGCCTCGGTGCGTGAACTGCCCGCTTCGACACTACCTGAACCCCGCAGTGCGAGCCCAGACATCCATGAAGCCCGTCAGGATAAATGGATGGCGTGGCTGGTCCAGCAGACAGGCAGCCTGCTCGGTGCTGTAGTGAGCGGCAGTGCTGATGTCAGTAAACCCCTCCTCCCTCCTCCTCCTCCTCTTCCTCCTGCTGTCTGCAAATTATGCCAGCCAGCGGCGGAGACGGGACAGGTCGGTGCGGCGCACCGCAGCTGCAGCTAAACACCGCGTGACCCCGGTTATGATGCTCTAAGCCTCTGCTGCGATTATGATTTGGACTTTTAATTTGAGTTGATGTTGTTATGTTACACGAGGATGAGAGGGAGTGTTGGATGTTCAGAAGCTGCTGAGAGGTGATGAATTATGTAACAACTCTGTGACCTGGAAAAGTCGCTGCATGTATCCCTGCGCACTGCTGGGCTCGCATTTTAGGAAAGAAAAATAAATAATTAAAATAAAAATAGAAGATGGAGGGATGAGACTTAGAGGTGGATGATGGGAGAGCAGTGCAGTCTAGCTCGATGTGTGTTGCGCAGATGACGCAGCAGCAGACAGCGGCAGACTGCTGTGTCATCAGGTGCGCATGTTTCCAGTTTTCCAGTTTGGAGCTGCAGAGAACATTTTGGTACAAGGTGTACAGAGCAGGGAGAGCTGCAAGCCTCAACTTTCCTCTGCCTTTGTGAGACTGAGTGATAAATCCAGAAAGAAAGAATGTGACATTTGGACAATATAATAACAGTATGTCAATTTGTACATAAAATGTTGCAGCCCCTTTCAAAATAAGACAACAAGATTTATTTACTTTAAGATTATTTCCCACTTATTACTATATCTTATCTTATTTTCTGTCTGTTTTCCGCCTCTTCCCGCTGACTCTACATACATGCTCAAATGAAAATACTGATTTCAATATATTCTTACTATCATTTCTTCTTCTTCTTCTTCTTTTAATTTTTGTATGTCAGTATGGTCAATTCTGTTAAAAAAAAAAAGCAAATAAAATACACGAGTAAATAAAGAAATATAGAAATATAGTGTATTTGGGGTCTCACATTAGCAGGGCTTAAAAGCATATAGGCTAACATAAAAGCAACATTCTTGTCTCAAGTCTTACTGGGGACAAAAATGAAAAAAGAAAACAAATAAAAACAGCAAATAGAAATTGAAACATTTTAAAACTCAAGATAAAACTGCGGTAGCACTAAAGAAACAAGATGAAGAGCAAAGTAATCTAAAATGCACAATTTTAAACCAAATACAATAAAAACATATGATTTTCAGTGAGTGAAGCAAAAAAAGTATCATAAATTTAAGACATTCTGATTGTAATATACATATATACATAATTATTCTAAGTAGCCTATTCTAATTATTATTATTATTATTATTACCGTAAATCTTCCAATAATAGCCCAGGCTATTATTTGCTTAAATCACTCAACTCAGCAGGCCTATATGTGAAACAGGCATCTCTATGGGAGAGGCCCTTTAATTCCTTTTAACACAGAACTGTTGCTCATCAAAGATTGGGAAATAAAATCAAACCATTTGTTTGAACCAGTATGAATATTACATGTATAAAACTTAGGCATCGAATAACATATCAGTTATGTGTTACATTATGACACTTGTTTAATGGCACCCAAGGATAACACAACATTATCTTTGTCTCAAAACATTATTCATAAATTTGAATTATTTTATGAAAAACACCTTTGAGTCTTTTGATCAGTGGACCCTTACAGGCTAAAGGACTATAACTTATCGGGTAATCAAGGAATGGACACATATTCTGACTTCATAACAGCTTCGGAGGAAGGGAGTCACCACTTTTTTTTTTCGTCATGCTGTTTAATCTGAATGACTTAGGGTCGTCTCTGATGCTCATGGTTTCAGTGAAAGGAAATTGAGCTAACGATGTTAAGCATCTCCATATTGACAAAAGTTTAAACATTTATATTTGTAGTGCAGCTTCTATAACAAGGAACTGCTTGGCAACCAGACCAGGCTTCTAATTAAGACAGGCCTTTATTGGTCAAAATGTGTAGTTACATTGGGCTAGTAAAAAAGACTGGGTGTTTAATTGGGACTAGGCTATTAATATAAGTTTTAGGGTATATTAATAAGTCTTACGAAGTGATTAGAAATATGTTAAATAAACGCAGACGGTAAAAGGTGAGGTTATCTAACAGCTAAAGCCCTGATAACTTCATTGTTAATGACGAGAGAGTCAAAACTGCACACCATCAGTATTTTGGGCATTTACACGTTTTTCATCATGCACACTTGTGCATTGTACTTGGACACACATGGCTGGATTAACCTGCTCTGGGGCCCTGAGGCAAGAATGAGCTGCTGGGCTCCTGTTAACCCCCCGCTCTTCAACTCTGTCTGCAATGTGCAACTCTACATGGCCCCAGGTTTGCTGTGAGGGAATTTAATTTAATTAAACTCAAACTGATTCAGGAATATGCAACATGTAAGTACAACATTTAAATGCTAAGCATCATAATATAACATGCTGATACAGGGTCCCTGTTCAACACAGGCCTCAAGATGAGGTAACAGGGCAACCTTAAGGCCCGTGTCAGGTCTGTTAATATGATCCTTTAGCAGAGCCAATTCTCAAACAGATATGTTAATTACATTACTACAAATTAAACTGCAATATCGGGCTTTTAGGTGGCCACAATATATTTTGCTAAAAGCCCAACATCTTTTTAGTGTCTACATATTCTGATTTATTCTTCAAACAAAATCTGGTTTATTTGAACTCTTTTTGGGTGGACCTGTTTTGATTTCCTATTTAATTTGACCCTTGTGTTTTGAAAATGACAGGAATACAAATAAACATATTATTTTCATCTCGTACTTTTTCAAGTGAGGCACGCATTATTAAACCCTCTTGATGTTATTAGGACTGTGAGAGACCTCAGAATAAAAATAAATCTATTAAACCCCCCAGCATAAATTATCATCAGGCAACTGTGCGTAGAAAGATGGAAGCATACCCTCTGAGGATTAATCTGAAGCTGGCCTGAGGTCTATTTATAGTTGGTGATATTCAGAAAGCACAGGAGAGATACTTCATGGATAAGTGAGAAACTTAAGTATTCTCATTGTCTTGTAGTTGAGGTGGACATGTAAACAACATGTAAATATGAAAGCAGCAACAAATTGCTCCAAAGCTGCATGTTGCTGAAACCACAGTGCCAACAATTTTGCATCTCTATTTACACCCGTTCAATAAGATGAATTAAATGTGTAAAGCAGAGAGCTTTGGAGCTGATAGGTGTAGTTCTAATTTTTTGATAGAGCTAGGCTAGCAGTCCCCCCCTTCTTTCTGTCTGTATGCTAAGCAAAGGTATCGTATGTCCTGAGTCTTTCTCTGTAGCAGGCACATGGAGATGAAACTGATATTTAACATCTAACCGTGGAGAAGATAGTAAACGTGTGACTGTAATGACTCTAATGATGTACCTCTGGTATTTTCACATCAAATGGCAACAAGCAGTTAAGTTAAAGTTAAAGTGTGTGTGATAAAAAATTCATATGAAAAATAAAGAACTAGAATTACCATCTTAGCTTACCCTCATTGTATACCTTTGCCAACCAGTCAATCGTAGTTTACATATGTCTGTCCAGACTGTAGCTACTGTGATGCCACTCATTGGTTTGTGGACTGCCAGTTTGAAGCCTTGAGTTCAGCATTTTGGTCCTTGCCATCTCGGTTTGGAGCCAGATGTGGCCATATTTGGACAAGAGGATGGAGCTGTGAAAGAGCGAGGGGTCGATCTGATGGGAAGTGGGACACTGTGCGCAGACAGCCTGGCACTCAAGCCGCCCTGCCCTCATATATGTGTAACTCTGGGCCTTAATAAAATGTAGCAGGTGTGCTATATAAAAATTAACATTCATGACAACGCACAGTTGTCATGAATGTTGAAATTAGCTATAGAGACCAAAACTGTTTTTTGTACCAGGCTGTAAACATGTTTATTTCTGCTGTTTTGGAACCAGCCTCAAATGGACATTTGATAAACTGCAGTTTTTGGCACAGCCACATTGGCTTTATTTCTCAGCCTCAGAGGTTGGTCCAGACTCACATGAAGCCATGACAGTAGACAATGCTTTAAATATGGGTGTTGCTGCAGAGAAGCTACAAATTCTGAAACATACAGTAGATGCTTCACACACATCTTCAACCTGGCAGCACAGAAGATCTATCAACATTTTCAAGATGGACACCCAAGATTAGTGTCATCAATTCAGTATCTGACCAAATGTCTTCTCTTCTGTTTTTGAGTTATGCTGTTGAATAATGGCCAGAAGTGTTTTTTGCAGAACATTATAACAACCCAGTAAAGTTGACCTTTGACCTTTTGGATATGAAATGTCATCACTTTCAATTTATTCTATTAGACATGTCTGTGAAATAATGCCATAATTAATGTCCAAAAACAAGTTTGTGAAGTCCCAGTGATTTTTGACCACCAAATTCTAGTCAGTTCATCCTTGAGTCCACTTGGACAACATACCTGTGTTCAAAGAGGAATGACGAAAAAATAATGTTACTAATTTAAAAACAATGCCATCCATTATAGGCGGTGGGCCGAAGCCACGATTCCTAAATAATAATAAATCAATCAATCCTAAATAATAAATAAATCAAAAGAAAATTGTTGTCACCGGTACTTCTTGCACATTTTTGTAGATCAGTAACTTTATCACATTACCTTTTTCCAGCAAACAGAGCAGACAGCTACGTTCGGGGTCCGACATACATGACGTGATTGTAGTTATCATCCAATGGGACGCTTGGAAAAAAGAAAAAAAAAACTTGGAAAAATGGCGCTGCATGTAGAGCCATACATAGCCTAATAAGTCTCTTTTATGTCTTCAATGCATAACTTGGTCTTTACACGTTAAGGACTTTTTTAAACAGCCTGTGTAGGTACCATGTATATTTTCTCTGCGAGCTTTATACAAAATAAACATATCTGATTTCACAAATTTGAGGTCTGTTATCTTGCTTGGGAACTTCACCTGTCATTTATCTGTCAAAATGATGAAACATCATAAAAACGACCCTCCTCCCGC